ATTTTGTTTTATAGTTTTTATTTAAATTATTTGGACTCAGTTTTGAAAGTATTTCTTATTTTCAGTACAAATTATGAAAGTATACTCGGTTTATTGTTTGAATGCTATAGGTACTACTTGTAACATGCTTTCTTTAGGGTCTTTTATGACTATGTTACTTATGTTCTTGTGTTCTTGAAGGCCTTGTATGCCACTGTAAACTTATTCTGCTTAGTCATAATAAATAGCTTCTGGAGGCATGGGCTTTAATCCGTGTAAGGCAGACATCATGTCAACTAGGTAATGGAGCCCCTGTTCTCTGGTTAACGGTCTTCTAATTTATGGATCCCTTGACTGTAGTGGTTTTTTTGCAGCTCTGCAAAATATCCCTCCACAGCAGCTATTACCTCTTCGTTTGAAGAAAATCGTTTCTACGGAAATATTGTTTGAGGTGTGGGAAGAGCCAGAAGTCGGAGGAAGCTAAATCTGGCGAATAGACTGGATGTTGCAACAATTCGTACTTCAATTCAGTTATTTTAGCAATGTTTTTTTGAGCTGTGTGCGCAGGTGCGTTATCTTGGTGGAAAATTATTTTCTTCTTCGGTAATCCAGGTCTTCTTTCACGAATATTTTCGTCTAATTGATTCAAAAGGTTACGATAATAATCCGAATTAATTGTTTTGCCAGTTTGAAGGTAATCTATAAACAAAATTCCTTTCGAATTTAGTGTAGCCAGATTTTTTTTATATTTAATTTTGAAATACTGTGTTTGTTTTTAAAAGTTTTACTGTTTAATATTATTGTTATATATATGTTTAATATTATATTTATATAAATATTTGCAGAAGGTTAGGCTGTTGGTGGTGGGAGAATGTTGGATTTCATATGACATGAAGTTTATAATTTATGAATGTTTTTATTGTTAGTTTATGATGCTGAATACGCATGATTTGCTATTCTGTTTACGTTTAAAACTGACTTCGCAGTGCTCTGATCTGATAATTGTATACATTTATTTACTCAATTATTATTTACAAGAATTGTTCATTCTACTATTTTATGATGAATTACATATATATAGGACTATGCTTTTACTTGCGAAGCTGTTGGACTTTGTTTTACTCATTTAGTATTTTATCACCTCATAGTAAACTATTCTGTTTACATAAAATAACGGCGTTTCACTACTGCAAAACTTAAAAGTTCCTATTCTGTTTACGTTTAAAAATCACATTTTAGTGCTTTCATTTAGTGCGCCTAAAAAATTCGCCAAATTTTGAAGGCCAAAATAGTTTGGCGCCAACTTACTCCGCTTATGGAATTTTAGCCTACATAATTATTCATAATAAAATCATTTTAAAAAATGCAAAATTAAATTGTATTTTAATATTTAACAGCCATAAATAATGTTTAAAACATTAGATTAAATTTATAGATATTAAAACCAATTACTTTTAAAATAATGTGACGTCCTTCATTACATCATCCACAACATAAAATTCCATAAAAATGTCATAAAAAATAAAAATGTTATTTCAAATAAAAATGCAAAATTAATTTGGTTTTTAATATTTAGAAGCCATAAATAATATTTAAAACACGGAATTTATATATAATAAAACGCATTATTTTAAAATAAAATGACAACGAAGTATCGGTTACCATAAATAGGTTGTTTAGCAATGGATTTATCGTAAGTCATATTGCTCGCCAAAAAAATCGCCAAAATTCGTGCAACCGTCTACCGCAGTAGCACTAAAGAAATATAACAGAACGCCGAATTTTAGCCTCGAGATATTCGTACAATATCACGCGATATAAGCAGTAGCTATACTTTAAACTACTAAAACGTTAATTAGAACGCAATCCACAGCGTACAGAGAAAGCTAATTCGATCAATAATAATTAACAGCAGCTAACGAACAACTAAGCTGAGATGTTCTCCTTCTGGCTTTTCATAACTTTTCTTAAATCGCTCGCGCGAGGTAATTCTAGCAATTTCTGGAAAACAAAAAGAGTAGAATTTCGGTTACAGCTAGCATAGTCAATTACATTTATTCAAATTAAATATAAACAACGAGATATCTATTTATTAAATGTTAAATGCACGTGCTCCTGTATTTTTAATTTTTCGGCGAAGGTTTCTCTTAAAATATGCCTCGTGCTGCACTGCACAGGAAAATAAGACAGTTTTAATTAGAATTCTAGTAAAAATATCTAACTAAATAAGAAATTCGTAGCAATACATACATTTATGCAGATTTTTCATTAGTTCATTTCTTTAAATACAACATAGGGCTCTAATATTTGGCTGCAGCAATTTAAACATGATTCGCCGTTTATAGTGAATCAACGCAAAATGCCAAAACGAAATTAATAGCCCTTCTGGGCTAACTCCGTTTGGACTAATAAAGTTTGAATCAAAATAGGCATTTAAAAAATAATTGAACACAAACTTTAATGTATTTCAATAAATGTTTCCCTTACTAATAAAGAACGATGGTTTTTTTTATAATCTGAACTGAAAATATTCTTTTCGTTATTTATGAAGATTAATGAATTCAGGAGATAATTTGTAACAAATGGCAAGATGAATGAATTTCACCGGATGTTTATTTTATGCTTGTAAATAGAACTCAGAAGTTATAGTTCCCATCTTTCTTTGTTTCATTAATCATGTAAATTAATCTGTTTTATGAAATTTGAAAAGGGAAAAATTCAGGAGGCACTAACTATATCTAAATGAAAATACCAGATTTATGTTACTGTTCTTCTGGCTGTGTAGGCTTAAAATCGTCATTACAGAATTTTCTGTCACGATAGAAAGATAAAATAAATAACTAAAGCAGTGACACTGCAAACAGGTGAACCACTGTCAACCACGCGGTAGTTTTAATGTAATCCACAAACTGTTATAACACAGGAAACAGCATTTCAAGCATGGCATGCGTAAGACTGACAGGCAACTCCGATTAACTTATAATAAGACTAAATAGATAAATAAATAAAAATAACATTCTTAATCGTTGAGTTGCATATTTTAATTGACATAATATATATTTATAAAATAAAATAAAATAAAATTTAATCACCTTTTAATAAATAAGATTAATCTTATTTTTTATGAGTTAAGGGAACGTGGAATTAAACTAAGAGTTTCAATGACTGAGGATAGACAGCGAGCGATTTAGATTGTTGCGTGCGTACGGGTTCATAATAAATTGAATACACAAATCCGATGAAAAGTTAATAAAATTTATTCTTATCACAAGAAGTAAAAACGAAATGCTGAAATCTTTCCTCACAGATATTCGTACACTATCACACAGTGGTTATATTTTGAACTGCTAAAACGTGAAATAAAACACAATTCAAAGAGCAGAGAAAACTAATCCGATCTCAGAATTACAGCAGCTCAATAAACAACAACAACTTACTAAAACAACTGAACTGAGATTTTTTCTCCGGCTTTTGTAAGTTTTTTAACAGTCACGAGAAACTTCTCATAATTTCTCGAGGTTTCTGAAAAGCAAAAGAGTAGAATTACAGTTGCAGCTAACACACACTTGCATTATTTCAATGTAAATATAAATCGTGAGATATCTATTTATTAAATGCGGGTGTTTCTGTTTCCTTTTTTTTTTTTTTTTTTAATTTTTCGGCGTAGCTTTCTCTTAAAACTCGTCACGCGCTGAATTACACGGGGAAATAAAACAATTTTAATTACAATTCTACCAAAAATAGTTAACTAAAAACAAAATCCGTAACAATATATATCTATAAGGTATTTTCTTCCTCCTTCCAACATGCCTTCGTGGTATAAATCGACGCGTATTCGGAGGTCCAGGTTCGAATCCCGGGGAGGGCATTGCTCATTTTTCATGCATTCCTGTTTCAAAATAATCTAATGATTCTTACAGTGGCGTCTGAACTGAATAAGGTGGTGGATGATAATTCGTTCTCACCAGAATTTGGCGAGTGAGTCCTCTAATTCTCATTCGCCTTTCAAAAGGGAAAGTATGTAAGGTATTTCCTCCCTCCTTCCAGCATGCCTTCGTAATGTACCGGTAGCATACTCCACGTGTATTCGAAAGGTCCAGGTTCGAATCCTAGCGAGGCATTGCTCATTTTGCATGCACTCCTGCTTCAAAATAGCCTAATGACTCGACATATCTCGAACTTAAATTCAGACATTTGCACTTTTAAATTTAATATACTTACACTTTTCAAGTTGTTGATAATTCTACAACAATTGCAAGCATATAATTCTACAACTATTGCATGCAGATAAACTAAATTCATGAAACCTTTAACCAAGTTTATAAGAACAATATATTCAATCACACACACACGTTTGTGTGTACCGTATACGTTTTGTGCAGCGCATTGCATTAAAAAAAAAAGAGGCTCGCAACTAGACAACTAGATTTTACAGCAGTTCCATATACAAAATTTCAACGTTCTGAGGCTCTTAGTTTTCGAGTTATGCGAAATATGTATGTAAGTACATACGTACAGATGTCACACCAAAAAATTCCCTTCTGAAACTATTTTAAATCCATTTACAATCCATTTTCGAAAAATAAGTCCTTTGTACTGCCCATACGTACGGATGTGACCCCAAAAAATCGTTCATATGGATTCGAGAGCGGTCAAAATGAGTATTTTCGTTGAAATATGATGCAGGATTTTTTTTTTTTCGATTACAATATTTCCTTTACTTCGAACAAGGATGTAAAAAGTCGTATTAAATTTTTTTTTCCGTAAGACATATATAGTATTATCGAAACGTTTGCCAAAAAGAAGTTTCTTAAAACAAATGTAAAAGTAATTAAGAAATCCTTTTACAGATTTTCCACTAACTTTGATTAATAATCTAAGTGTCTTTGTTGCGATAATTGTAATAAGATAGTACTGAATGGCAACATTTAAATGTTTTTTGACCAAAATCACGCTATAGTTTATCACGTTCGTTCCAAGATACTGTTTGTTTGATGATGTTTTGTTTAATTTAAGTTTTAAGCATTTTAATTCGCTGTAGATTAGCATATATTTTTAATTCGTTATCTATTTCATAGATTTTTAATTCGTTGTGTATTATCATATTTGTTTAATTAAAATGGAATATTTTGGTTGATATTTAGGAAAAGCGCATTTTAATAACACTTGATAAGTTTCCTTTCCAGTGCTAGCCAAACTGTGGCATTATTATTCCGCGTATAAATACTGGGCCTACTTCTGCCTGAACCAGAATTTTAGGATTGATCATACGTGTAAAGATAGCAGTGTCGAAGACTTGAAAAAGATAAAGCAAGTCTGTGATCAAATTTTGCTGCGAAATTCTGATTTACGATGCCTGGAGTTTTATGCCAGTAAGTTTATTTTTCCTTTTATAAAATTTCACAGACGTGTGTAAAAATACATAAATGAATATACTGAGAAATGCTTTGCATGCTCTTTACTGTTTTGAGAATGATACAAATATGTGAATGACATTATAAAAGTGTACAAGAAAAAGCCATATTTTGAGAAAAAATCATTACTGCTCTGAATATTACAAAATGTCTTTCTACACAAACTCAATTAACGTACTGTATAGAAGTATGACAAATGTCTGGAATGACTGGATCATAGTATTTGCAGTATATTTGGGCTTGTCTTTCTTCTCAGGCAAAATACTTGGTTGTTATCAGTTAAATGAATTAATTTTATTCTTCGTTTATTTCATTTTACTTCAACAAAAATTACAGAATTAAAATGAAAGAAGTTTAGTATTTCGCTATTGAAGCAGCTATCGCGCTTAATCCCAAAGTCGACAAAATCAATTGCGCAGTTTCTAACATAAAAATTTCGGGGGGGGGGGGGGGTGAGCAAAATATTTTCTCAGCTAACGCTTTACAATGGAAAGACATCTAGTTCATTAAAGCAAGGTATAATACATACCACATTTAACTTAATGTAGTTATTCTGCATGTTGTAAGATAAATATTCATTATATGTAGAGAGAGAACTGAATAAACATCATCTGATTTGTTAATGTATTTTTAGGCGTAAAATCAGTTGCTAAGACTATCAGCTACCCACAAGGTAACCAAAAAATAAACGTTTTATTAATAATTATAACCTGCATATATTTTAAGCTTTATGAGGTAATTCATACATTGTACATAGTATTCATTTAAATTAATGTAACAGCTTTTAGAAAATATGTAGAGTAGTATACACCATAGTCCTACATGGCATTTGTTTTCGCGACTGTTTTTCATAGGCATGTACTTCCTACTACAGAAAACGTTTTAAATTTTAATATTAATTTTATTTATATTATTTTTTAATATTATTTTTTAAATATTAATGTTATGCTATTTTTAAATTTAAAATAAACCCGTTTTGTCAAAAATAGAAAGTCTCACTTTTTTCGGCGGTTCTTTTGTTCCTGTAGCCTAGTAAAATTTATTATTTTCTTCCTGTAGTCTAGTAAAATTTATTATTTTGTGCCTGTGACCTAGTAAAATTTATTATTTTGTGCCTGTACTCTAGTAAAAGTTTATTATTTTATTACCTAGTGAATGTTTATCATTTGTTCTAAAAAATTGAACAGGTGATAAGTGATGGAAAACGGAGATACTTGTTGTGTAGCAGGCGTAAGCAGATATTTATACCACGGTCTTCCACTATCTGGGGATGCCAGCATCTCCCGTGAGGTCCCTAACGACGATCTGTCGGGAGTATATTAACAGCAGATTCATACATAAGTATGAAGGCGGCAAGGATTTTGTTTATATATAGTATTTTTTGTGTGTTTTTACAGAAGCAATGATCAATACTATACTTATGAAAATACGATGTCTAGTGTATAATGTATACAGTACATAACATATATTATATATATATATATATATATAATGCGTGGTTTACTCCGAGCTTTTCTCGTCACGATAAAACTATAAATGATCATCTTTAAGACTGCCAACCATTTGAGATGGTTGCAATTTATCAATAATCTTGGCGCCGTTTACAAAATGAGGATAGCATTAAATCTTTATTGAGAAGTATTAGTTTTGCCTTGAGTTTGAAAGAAAGCTGTGTTATTAACACCTTCGTAGATTAGTTACATATAATTTATTATAGTACATTTCTCCTCAATTTTGGAATTTAAATATCATGTTTTTTCCCCAGATCCGGAACAACGGCTTCGGTCAACAAGACCAGTGATTCTAAAATGGCGATCTGCAATTGCGACAACTGTCCTTGCAGGCGAGGTTCTAACAAACGCCTTCTGCATCACAAGAAGGAGACAAGTCCAGGTTGTATCGCATTCCAACTTCCAAGGTACAAAGAACCCGTTTCAGATACCTACAGCCACTCGGTCTATAAGAAGGAGTTCTGCAACAAGACGCTTATTAGACAATTAAAGGAAGCAGCCCATTTGAAAGCGGGGCAGCGTCATCAGCCATTACCACCCCGTTTGGAGAACGAGAGATTCACATTCAAGACGATGACAGAAACAGATTATAGAAGATATACTTTACGAGAGGAAGCTGCATGCAAAGCCAAGTTTCCCAGAAACAAACGAAAAGAAGACTTCTACTATAAACCAGGTGAATACGTCAACGAAAAGAAATTTTCTGCACAGTCATTGTCTCACGAAGATTATTGCCCGAAGAAACCCATCCCAACATATTACCGTCCGGAGCAAGATTGTATTCTGCCTCCATTTGAGGGCGCTTCTTGTTATTTTACCGATTATAAACCTCACCATCCAAGCGCATACATGCAGTCTAGGAAATATAAGAAGAGAGTGAAATTCGACTAGCATGCTTTTGATTTGTGAACATTAACTTGGTACTTGTCTGCAGTGTGCAAAATTTTACTATGCTTGTCTTAGAGGTGAAATGCGAGAAGATTTGTACATATTTTTCGTATTTTTCTCTAATTTTGAAATGTTTTTGCTTCGGTTAATAAGACGTTATCAAGTGTTAGAATCAAATATTAAATGTAACTTCAATAATTTTAACAGAATGTAATGTAAATACTAGCTTGTTGTTTTTGTTATTTTTTAATATTGTAGCATTAAAATGCAAGAAGTATAACATTTAATATTGTTTTTTGATACCGCCATTTCATATAATGTATGTATTCTCAACATATATAACGTATCCTCACAGAACGGAGTAAGTATTATACGGCTTTTTTCTCTCCTTTCCACATGCTTACGTGGTGTAGTTGTAAGCATACTGAACTCGTATTCGAGAGGTCCAAGGTTTGAGTCTCAGCAAGGGCACTGCAAATTTTCACGTGTCCTGTTTAAAAAAACTCAAAATGACGCTGCAGTGACGCCCGAACTAAAAGGTGGTGAACGATAATTCGGTATCACCAGGATTTAACGATTGGGTTTCCTAATCCCCAGTCGCCCTTTAAAAGGGGGAGTTCGTAAGATATTTTCTCCCATCTTTCGCCATGGCTTCGTGGTGTAAATGGAAGTATACTCGATGCATATTCGAGAGGGCCATGGTTCGAGACCCCGCGAGGGCACTGCAAATTTTTCATATCCTCTGCTTCAAATAAAACCTAATGACTACAATATATTATTCAATAGTTTAAAAAGATTGTTTGACGATTTGATTCTGTGACGTTTAGTGCTTCTAGCCACTTTTCTAGAAACCAGAGCATTCCTGCTCGTTAATTTATCCTGTGAGCTGTTAGGCTAATCTAACTACATTTCATTCTAATTCAACGTTACTTGTTTAAGTTAAGCCAGTAATGTTGGCTTGTGTAAGCCCAAGCTGGGACATTGTTACGTCTTTGTGTTCAAATAAAAGGGCTATTTACACTATTCTTCTGACTTTGCCTGTCTGCAGTTTAAGATAAGAGGAATATTCCTCTGTAGTCTTTCTAGAACTCACGAGTTTATGTTACCAAAGAAAGTGAGAGAAGTGCATAGAAATATAGCATTATTTTTATTTAAATTTATTAGTAACAAATGATTGATTTTACAGAACAAAAAGAATGTAATTTTTTAAGAACACTGGAAAAGCTAAAAGATCGCAAGAATATTAAAACATTTTGGTTTAGTCTGAAAGTATGCCGATATTGTTATTTTGATACTTCCTTTTTTAGTCATAGTTGCTTTTCACTTTCAGTTGTCAAGTCAAATGAAACAAGCATATTTGAGAGGACGGATAATTCAAATGAATTACATGAATATACCTTATAGAATATCTGAATATTTGAAACTTCTGGAATACGTTTCATGTTTCATGCTTAGATTACTTTGATATTCCTGATACAAAGAAATTATTTTGAAAATTTAATTTTCCAAAAAGAATTAATTCAGTGGTGTTCAAAATCCATCCATTTAGAATATGATCTGCATTCATGGACCACAAAGTATACGTTGTTGAACCAATATTTAGGAGCAATTATTCTAAAAATATTAATTCTACATTTATTGATTATATTTATGGCGTACATATTAATTACATATTATTTTTGTACATATTAATTACACATTATTTTTATTAATTATATTATTGTACACTGACTACCAATAAGTATTTGGACACCTATGCAATGACGGTATCTGCGGTTCTAAGGTACGTCACGGACTCCGCCGGTATATATCGTGTAGGAAACAGCATCGGCTTTAGTCGCATGCAGGATGGCTCGCATTCGGGAGCTCTCTGATTCGAGAAAGGTATAATTATCGGTATCACAAATGTGGCCGATCCTTAAGGGACATATCTAGAGATCTGAAGTCCCAAAATCGACAGTGGCCTATGTGATTAAGAAGTGGAAGGTGAGCGGTGATTGTCGGAAAATGCCCCGGTCGGCAGACCAACCAAACTGGAGATAGAGACCGACGAGTGCTGTCCAGAGAAATTCGGAAGAACCGCACCCAACCGATGCCCTCATCCGCGAGGAGTTTCAACAGGCATATCCGGAGTATTGTTTCAATGAATACCATCCGTAAGGAAGCATATCTGCTTGGTTTCATGGTCGTGCTGCTGCCCATAAGCCTTTGATCACAAAGTCCAACAGCGCTGCTCGGTTAATTGGTGCAAAGCACATCGAAATTGGACCGTAGATCATGGAAACGGTTCTTTGGAGTGCGAATCAAGGTTCACCATTTACCGTTCGGATGGCAGAATCTGGGTTGGCGTCTACCTGGAAAAGTCTCCTGCCAGAATGGTATGAGGAAGTTTCTCCTGGTATATGGCTGGGATCCTTGCTCCCCATTCATGGTAAGCTCAACTCGATGCCTACTGCACTATTTTGGATGACAATGTGCTTCCTACTTGTGGCATTTTACTGGTTGGACCCCTGTTACTTTCAGGACGACAATTTCGTTTTTAACCAAGGCTTGGTATGGTGCAATGGAGTTCATCGAATGACTGGCCTGCCAGAGTCCCAGACCTGAACCCTTTCGAGAACCTCTGACGAGTTGCATCGCCGAATTCACGGGTGCACTACCCGTGCAAAATCGGTGAAGACTTCTATGTCTTCTCAAGCCGAGTGGAAGAAAATACCACTACTGTCATACAAGACTTGTGGAAAGTAGCCCCGGAGGTCCACGCTGTAATTACCTCTCTTGGGCTCTACCAACTATTGATTTTGAATAAAGTTAGTTTTTCTTTTCTATCACAGGTGTCCAAATACTTATTGGTAGTCAGTGTACAAGGTTAATGGCATACACATCGTATATACACAATGTTCGAAAATTCAGGCTGCCATTTAAAACGCAAAGAACCTTTTAGAATAAAATAAAGTTTAAATGATATAATATTTCTGTATATGACAAGATGATGTCCCGAAAATGACATTAATTTGGCGTTCTGAAAACGTACGTCTTTTTCAGTGCATTTTTCATGACGTGGTTGAGCGCGTCTGGTTCCAGTGAAAACATTTATATTTGAATGTTTTCCTTCAGCTGCTGGATATTGCGGATATTGTAAACGTCTCCTTAGGTGGTCTCAAAGAAAAATAAAATTATAGCGATTAAATTGGGTGAATACGGTGGTCAGCTGCAAGAAGTAATTTTTTAAATTAATCATTCTGCAAACATACCTATTGAAGGTTTCTATCTCGCTGTACGGGCGTCTTGAAAGGTCACGAATATGATGTCGGAATGACACTGATGCAATGCATTGTGTTCATTGCTTTGTTTAACATGAGAGCTCTTTATCCGGATGAACCTTTATCGTATGACCTAATTTCGCATGAAACATGGTCTTCCAATTCGTGTAAAATCGATTATAGATCCCTGGTTTTGAAAACAATGATTTAGACGAATTATCGGCGATTTAGCGGGAAATACTTCATTTAATAATGACGCATGTATCTTCTCTTTGTGAGAAAATTGACTTCCCTCCCCCAGAAAAAAGGAAAATGCTTCGATTTTGATTATTTGAGCGTGCTGAATTTCTCCATAACAAATCTTTAAGAACTGAAATGTTAATAATATCCAAAAGGGAAAACACATTAGGATGTGTGTAATGAACTTTATCCGTTCTGGAGCAATTTTTGGTCTATCTGTACATGGCTTATTTCAAAAGATAATAATTGTATTTATTTTGAACCATATTTTTTAAGCACCTGGGCGAATAAGATACGGAGACCAATGTATGATTTACAGATATAAGAAATCCAGAGTGCCTGGATTGTTCATAAAGATGGTTCATAAAGATTCATTTTGAACTATTTTTCTTAAACAGTTGTGTAAATAAATATACCACTAAGATAGTATGTGAGATTCCACATAAAAAAATACGCCACATAATCATCACGAAATCAGTTCAGTAGAAGGAAGGTGGAATAAAGATGAAAGGAACTTTCTCTTCCCTCATAGCGTGCCTTCATGATTAAATTGGAAGTACATCCAGCTAGCAATCGGGAGGTCCAGAATTTCAATCCTGGTCAGGGTACTGCTGATTTTTTTCATGTTTCTTGCTCCGACAAGTACTTAATGATTCTATAAAGTAACCGGTAAGTAATAGTTGCATCTCTCAAATTAAAAAAAACATGGCATCTACAAAGTCCTTGAATAAATTTAACAGCTTATTATTTGGGAATGGAACAACATATAGCTTTGGCACTAGTCTCACTTTCATAAGCAATGTTCAATGCTTTTGTGATAACTGCCCTGTGTCATAACGTGCCATTCCAATAAGAAATGTCCTCTGGCTGATGGTCCACCGAGTATGGAAACAAATCTGGGTCTGGGTGCCTCCTCTCCCTGGTGCACTGTCATTTTTGCCTTCCTCTTAAAAACAATTGCACATCTGCCAGACAGTGCGGATGCTTCTCAAAAGCCAATAAACATAATACTCGAAGAAGCAAAGCTTTGCTTCTAAAAATTTTGCAAGATCTTTCGGTAAGCAAGAAGATCATTGACTTACTTTTTCCAAAGAAGTGCATTTAATTCGTAGTATTTCCATCGTAAATGTAGCCTAGATGCCTGGAGCTGACTATTGTTCCTGGATGAACGCAAGTTTAATTTAAATAGTGATTCTGGGCAAATAAAAGCTTATTTATTTGAGGAGGAATCATGAGAAATGGCCTCTGTGAGCTCCGTATTGAAAGATCCTGTAAACATGCAAGGGTAATTGATAAAATTCTTAAATCCCAACTTAAGGTTGCTTAGTGATGTTGTGGTCACAGTCGTTTGTCACAGCGTTGTTGTGGTCACAGCTCGTGAAGACAATAATAGACCGCACTGAATCGCCATAATGGACGAATATCTTCAGACTTAACCCTCTGACCGGCTCGGGCTTTCACTAAGAAACCTCAAGTGTCCCAAAACTGCGAATGAGAAAGAAGCATTTTCTTGATTTTTAAAATCAACTGCCCTGAATTTATGTACTTTTAATACATTGTCTCAATTTCTTGAGCGTATTTCAAGAAGCACGTAGATATAATTTCTTAAAGATGTCGCAAAAATGTTCTGAACCACATATATATATGATCTTTCTGGTCACAGGGTTTTAACATATTATTCGAATTGACTGCCCACCATTCTCACCTGATTTTATACTTATTGAATATGTACTGAATACTCTAGGTCTGCGAGCTGAGGTGTACTTTCGAGTGTCTCAGGTCTC